CTGCCCTCCCCAGGGCTTTCAGTGGCCACGTTTCTGGAAGTAGATCACCAGGGCTTTCTTTCAAGGGCCCTCTGGTGGACTCGAACTGTCCACCTTTCAGTTAGTAGCCAAGAGTTGGTACTACCCAAGGACTCCAGGCCTTCTAATCTAAGCTCACTGCCACTGAAGTCAACGCTGGCTCCCATGGACCCTATAGGACAGGGCACAGCTGCCCCCGTGGGTTTCTGAGACTGGCTCTTCATGAGAGTAGAAAGCCCTGTCTTTCTCCTGTGGAGCAGCTGGGGTTTCGAAAGGCTGAGCTGGCAGTGACCAGCCCTCTGGAGTCCCTGCTCTTGGCTGCTCACTGAAAACCGGGGGGCTCCAGTCTGCCCAGAGGTGCCTCTGGAGAAAGCCTGGTGAGCTGCTTCGGAAACCCCAGCTTTGGAAGACGCTGCCTAGCAAGGTCGTCCCACTCTGACCTGTGGGCCACCATGAGTGAGTGAGGAGGGAGAGGACAGCGGGCAGGTGAGCCTTTTATCAGGAGGCCTGGGATCACCCTCTGTGAGCGCAGGCCCCATGGGTAGCAGGCGATGCGATGCGACATAATAACGTTATTGAGCGCTGTGCTAAGTGCCTTGGGGGTCTGTCTGGTTAGGTCAGGATCTCCCGGGAGAGGTGACCGAGCAGTACGACGACAGCAGAAAACCTGTCTAAGGCTGACAGATGCACCCTGGCTGAAAGAAAAAAGGGGGCGGTGTGCTATTTTCACTCATGAAGAAACTCAAGTCCAGGAAGGAAATGTGCTGAGGGTGTCCTTAGGGTGCCCATAGGTGCCGCCTCTCCTACCTGAGCCTCTTCCGGGATGGTGGGAGCTGCGGAGTCTCGCCACCTCCCTCTGGTGGGTGTGCGCACAGGTGTGAGTGGCAGCTCAGGTGACCCAGGTGAGGCCTGCAGTGTGCGGAGATGGCAGCACAAGGGGCAGACTGGGCATTAGACACCGCGGCTTTGGTGTGCCAGGTTTTGGATCTCCCTGAGCCTCGGCTCACAGCGACAATGGGTCAGTGACCCTCCAGCTCCTGGAGGGTGTAGACAGCCGAGTAAAGCCACACAAGCCCAAGAGTCTGGCCCATGTGCTCGGCACATCTCGGTGCTCCATCAGGACCCTTCATTGACCCTTCCACCCCTCCCCCACGTCGCTTTTCTGTTTTACTTCCTCATCTTGAAAAAAGAGTTGTTTCAAGTAACCGCCTGGATTTTTTTCAGTACTACTTTGAAGTCCATGAAAATCGGCTCCAATTTCCTCCTTTCTCTTCTCCCCTTTCCTAGTGGGCATGGCACAGGGAGTCCTGGGTCCCAGGCTGGCTTCCCTGCCAGGGGCGGCTGGCCTGGCCTTCTTCCTTGTCGTTTTTGGTTTCAGCATCTCCCTCTACCAGGAAGGGCACCCGTCCACGGCCCCACCTCCCTTGTTGAGACACCTTGCTGCCCCGTGCTTCTGGTTTCCCTGGCTGCCTGGCTCTCGGCTTGTCTTCTGGGCAGCCTGTAGCCATGATCCAGTCTCCAGTCCTTGAGTAGTGCTGTTCGTCGGGACCTTTGGTTTCAAGTGGCAGCGGCTTCCCTTAAACAGGCTTGTCTACAAAGTGGGGGTGGGGGGGCTTGGAGGGTCTGTGGGAGGCTCAGTGCAGCAGGAGGGGCTGAGGATCCAGCTCTAGGAAGGGGCCACGTGACCTCTCACACCCCCAACTACCAGTCTCTGCTCAGTGGGTCATGGCTGCCAACTCCACGCAGCCCTCCATCTGACCAGAGAGCGAGTCCTTCCCGGGCCTGTCCAACCTGGAACACAGCCCAGCTGAGAGGGCATGCACATCCTGTATTCCAGTGCCTGCGGCCAGAGAAGACAGATACACCCAGGAACCAATCTTGGACCCTACTCTCCCTTTTCCGGCAGGGGAGGGGGCGGAATTAGCGGCTGTAATCAAAAGGAAGGGAGAGAGAGATCTGAGTGCTATTAATAAGAATAATACCCCGGACAGCATTTCCCTAAAGACACATCTTGGGAGAGGAGGAGAAGTGGAAACGGGATTCACAAGGAGGAAGTGGGATAAGCGAGGCTCCAATTCCCCAAACAAAATGTGTATCAAAATGTGTCGGATGGAAAACGGATCCGCTCTGTCCATCTTTCCCCACCTTAACAATAAGACGCTGCATAGAGACGCCACTGGCCCCTTCAAAAAGGAAAGAAAGAAGATGACAGAAGTTGCTTTTGTTGAATGCTTACTAAGCCTTTCAGTGGCATTGTCACTTCCATCACCAACCTTGATTTGCATAGCAGGAAACTGAGGCACGGGGAGGTGAAGCCATTTGCCCAGAGTCACACTGCTGGTCTCTGAGAGAATGGGGGTTGAACCCAAGCAGAGGGCTCCAGAGGCTGTGTGGTGTGCTCAGCCACCCCCTCCAAGGCTGGCAAGACCAGCAGGCGTCTGCTCCGAGCACTTACCTGAACGGGAGCAGTAAGTCAAAGCATGATGTCACGTCTTCTTCAACACAGCCCCGTGAGGTCGGTGTTAACAGTGGCCCCGTTGCCAGGGAAGACCCAGGTTCCCAGAGGTTGCAGGGCTTACCCAGGACCACCTGGCTGATAAGTGAGAGAATTGGGATAGGAACCCAGTTTGCCTGATCCCAAAGCTGGAGCTGCTGTCCACCTTGCCGGCTGACCTGTGCCCTTGGCTTGTTTTATTAGGTGTTCTCACCTGTTGCTTGCAGGGGGTGGGGTGGGGTGGGGTGAGGAGAGACCTGCCCCAGCATCCTGAGCCTCTTCGCTCTTCTCCTGAGGGCATGCTGCGGAGGGGCTGGGTGTGAGGCTCTGAACTGGTCTTGGGTGTATTTCAGATGAACAAGACTTCAGAGCTTCTAAGCCTGGGTGGATTCCTTCAAAGGAAGTTCATGGAGCGCCTAGTGGTGCCAGATCTGGTTCTAAGGGCTTGGAATTCCCTCACAGACGTCCCCTGCCTCTGTGGGGCTGGGTGTGAGCGCATCAGAAAGGAAGGGGTCCCTGAGGGTCCTCTCTCCTTGGGATTCCTAATTTCTTGCAACCCACGGGGACCACTAAGGTCGACAGGACAGCTTTCCTATTCAGCCCCCGTTGGGTTCCCAGAGGGCAGGAGACCTTGTGCTTCTTTCTACACTTGGGATTGGGATGGGAGCATGTCTGACAGGAGGCGTTGATCTTCATTCCGCTTGTCTAGGAGAAGCAGAGTCGATGGTCAGTCCTTGTGGACTGGTCTAGTCTTGCCTCCCTCCATCGCACCGTAAAGGAACCCAAAGAAGGCCTCCATGAGCCCTGGTTTCCCAGATGCTGGTCTCCGCAAGGCCCCAGGGTAGGTAGGCGCTTCTGTACCTAAGACCTAGGCAGACCACTTGGTTCAATGGGCAGTGGAATTCTATTCCAGGATGTCCGGCTCCCTTTACCCTCCCACTGAAGGCTCACCAGGAGCCTTCCCGGGAGAAGCAGAAGCAGGTACTCTCAAGGCCACCAGCCGTTCAGCCTCTGACTTGAGGCAGCAGCACCGGGCCTATAGCTCAGGCTGATAGAATGTAGCCCAGGCGGGTCAGCCTGTTTGTCAGTGGGCACAGGTCCAGCAGGGCGTGGGCTTGATAGTGAGGATGATGCCGATGATTGCAGCGTCTTCCCAGGTGGTTGTCCGTGTAGGTCGCTAGGCAGCTCACCAGGTATGCGGGCCCATCTCTCCCGTGCTGGGTGTTGGCATCCAGGAGGATCCCTACGGCATCATCTTGGCGAGAAAGGCCAGGTGTGCTGGGCATTTGGGCCTAGAGTCAAATACTGCCAGACAGCAGGGCCTTTCAGGTGTCTTCTCCGAGTCACCGATTCCTCACGACTGAGGAGTCACTCAGATAAAGTAAGTCCAGTCTTTCACGGTGCTGGCGACCTGCACCGTGCCCGCTCCAGCGAGAACTCCTGGATGCGGCCCATCTCCCCCGCACATGGAAGGGTGCACGAGTGAGAGCATGCGTGTGTTTGTATGGGCAGTGGGCCCACCATCCTGTTGAGCAACGTATGTTTACTTCCCTGGGTGTGGGTAGTGCCGCTTCTAGAGCTCAACTTTCACACCTGTGCTAGCTTTTTCCTCCTGAGGTTACCGCTTGGGTATTTCAGCTTCGCAAAGAAAGCAGGTCAGGGGAAATCGTTCGAGATGTCTTGTAACGCTGACATCCATTCTCCAAGCAGGTGTGTGGGCATGTTCTGCAGAAGCAATATGCTGCAAGCCAATCATCTGGGTGTCCGCTGGTTACCCAATTTGATGGGCCAACTTGGCCATGCCCAAGTGGTCTGCACTTGGGGGTAGGCCGCATGGCGGGCCTTTTGCACCTCAGGTCATTTGAAAGATGGTACCTTTGGTGACTGGCCATCCAATTGTATAGCACCTCAGTTTGCTTGATCTCTTAACTTAGCCATTCCGATCCCTTCCCTTTTTACGAGCCCTCCCAAAGGAAACCTGCTGCCACCCACAGTGACCCTGTAGCATGGAGCAGAACGGTTGCAAAGGGTTTCTGAGGCAGCAAATCTTTGTAGACACGGTCTGCCCCATTTTTCTCCCAAGGAGCATCAGGTGGGTTTGAACCACTGACCTTGGATGGAGCAGTCCAGTCCCTGCCCCATGGCACCACCGAACCTTCCATTGGTACTAAAGCAGCCAAAGAAAGCCTTCTTCTTCAGACCCTCCTTATTCTTCCAGGGATGCCCTGGCATGGAGGTGGGAACCGCCCCTAGGGTGCCGCGGGATCTCGGACAGGAGAGTGTATGTAGCGCTGATTCTTTTTTCACATGCAGATGCTAGTGGGGCTCAGAGAGGAGTGCTCTGTCCCTTTCGCCTGACTGGGTCACGGGGCACTCGGGGGAAAAATGCATAGGCATACGGAACAGCTCTAGGGGAGAAGAAGACAAGAGAAGTCTGTCACGGGAGATCACGTAACCGGCACTAATGACTGGGTCTTTGTTTTTAAAGGAACATGGCAACCTGTGTGTGGCTCCTTCAGGAAGGAGAGGAGTAACCATCGTGATGCCTAAGAGTCGAGTAAGTAGCTCCCACTGGTGGATCTCTTTTAAGCCATTGAGTAGCTCTTGGGGGGTAGGGGGGATGGGACTTAAAAAAAAATCATTTTATTGGGGGCTCATACAACTCTTATCACAATCCATACATACATCAATTGTGTAAAGCGCATTTGTACATTCATTGCCCTCATCATTCTCAAAACATTTGCTCTCCACTTAAGCCCTTGGCATCAGCTCCTCATTTTCCCCTCCCTCCCAGCTCCCCACTCCCTTATGAACCCTTGATAATTTATAAATTATTATTTTGTCATATCTTACACTGTCTGACATCTCCCTATACCCACTTTTCTGTTGGGGCAGGACTTTATGGTTAGAAATATGTCGGGTGCCCTTTTCTTCAAGCCCAAGTCAATGTGACCCCCAGTTGAGGAAAGACCCCTGGTAGAAGCGTTGGTTTCTGTGTTATCTGGGTACATTAGAGAAACAAATCCACAGAAACCCATATGTATAAGAGAGAGTTTTATATAAAGGTTAAGTGCACATCAAGAAAACATCCCAACCCAGTGCTGCCCAAGCTCACAAGTCCATTATTAACCCATATGTCTGACACCAGTCCACAAAGTCCTCCTCGATCTCACAAAGCACAAGCAATGATACCGACCGCAGGAGGAAAGCTGAATCAGTAAATGTGTAAGCATCTCAGTGCTTGCAGGGGTCTCCACACGGCTGCTCCAGCACCCAGGGCTGCATTTGGGTAGGTCCATGCGGCTTCTCCTCGGGATGTCTTGCAGGATGTGAGCCTTGCCAGCTGAAGCAGGGAACTGGCTAAGGCAGCTGCACCCTGGTCCGACCATCACAAAGCAAGAGATTTGAGAACTAAAAAGGCGAGGCTTACCAAGCCATTTATCTCTCCGTCCTTCACTTAACCCCACATGAGTTTATTGGCCAGGTTGGCACAATAAACTTTAACTAACTCAGTTTCCCTCCTTGGTCCTCATGTCTACCACCTCCTAGGTTGCACAGCCTCCCCGAGGTCAGAAGCAAGGAGAGAGAAGGGTTGAGACTGAGACTTGTTTGGGGAGGTAAAGCACCCACCCTCACCCCCTGGCATTTCTGCCCCTCTTCTAACCCAGACAAGCCACTCAGCTGCTCTATTTTCCAAGTCTTGGCTCTGATGCTCTTTGGGCCTCTGCTGCCCCGGATCAGGGCCAAGGCAAGAATCTAGCCAAACTGCATGCTGGAGAAAGTGAATCCAGAGCGCCTCAGCCCATTTGTCCAAGATTTTTATTTTTAATGAGATCGAGTCATCTTCATCTGCTTGGGCCCCATTCTGTGGTGAACAAACTGTTTAAATCAGGTCTGTAGATTGCCATAGCCTTGGTGGTAGTGGTTCCGAGCTGGGTGGGCTGAGATCCACATGACCCGCAGTTCAGTCTGCTAGTAGCTCCTCGGAAGAGAGACGGGGCTTTCTGCTCCTACAAACAGTGACAGTCTCAGAAACCCACTGGGGTCTCTGTGAGTCAGCATTGACTCGATGGCATGAGTTTGGTCGGTTGATTTAAGGTCATGGGAGGCATACGACCTGGTGGGCCAAAATCAGTAATGGGCTTTTAATCAAAGTATTATTAATTCAACTTTTTGCAAATCGGGGAAAAAGGTTTGCAGGTCAGTTTTCCATCCAACAATTCACACGCAGTTTGTTTCACACCACTGATTGCAGTTCCCACCGTGTGACGTCGCGTAGCCCACTTCCTCCTTGTGTTTTCAGTTTCCATTCCCCTCCTTGCCCCGCCCGTCTTTGTCCTTGGCTAAATGCCGCCCTCTGATCTCCACTGGTGGATGGTTCTTAGGTCTGTATGCCTCCCTCGTCATGGTCTCCTTCTAGGCCTGTAGCTTCTTTAGTAGAAAATTGGGCCCTAGGGGTGAGAACAGCTCAGAGGGAATTTACTGGAGGCCTAATCTACGTGCATTTCCTCTTCACTTTTGCTTTTAACTGAAACCAGGTAAGAATTGGTCAGAAGGGAGATCGAATGATAAGATACTACATTTTAACCAACAACACCTGCCGTAATCAACATTACGATGCTCTTTGCCTGATAACAAGGCTAGTCGAATCCTTCACTCTCCTCAGAGGGGATTCTCTGGAGGCTTAATTCGTGTGAGGACCCTGCAAATGGATTGGGGGCTTCCACTGTCATTCATAGCCTTCAGCAAACCAGGTATTCACAAAATAAGCTGATACAGTTCCCTCCCTCAGATTTGGATTTTATTTACAATCCCTGGATCACGCAGGCTGAAGTTCTTTTTTGGTGGTTGCCCTCCTGGTCTCCTGAACCGACCTTCCCTCTGCTCTCCCCGGCTTCACCTTCTGCCGCCTGTGCTGTGTCCTCTATAGAGCTACAAGAGACCCACCGCAGATACCCTTTTGACCTGTCACTCGTTGGCCTTCAAGCCCCTCCAGTCTGACCTCAGTCTCTCCTCCTGCCTTATTTTCTGCCTCTGCTCTCTGTCCTGGCTCAGTCCCACAACTCCTGGTCCAGGTCACACAGTCTGAACACACTGTTTCTGTGAGAAACCTCTTTCACTTTCCCTGGCAAAGTGGGTGCCGCCTCCTTTGCCCTCCATCACATGCCTCAGCTACACCACAGGCCGCAGTTTGGTCTCATTCACCTCTTCAGCTCACCCACCAGCCGTAGGAGCCTCCAGGAACTGGCCTCTCACCTTCTTGCCCAAGTGGGCAGCCTCACTCCAGCCAGCCCCAAGGCCTGCCATTTCCCAGGGGGTGGGTAGCTGCTTGCTGACTGAAGGAATTAAACCCCAAGGCCTGTTTACAGGTGTTACAGTTAATGAATGGCTCCTGGAGCTTTGCACTCTGGGAGGGGAAATCGTCCTATCATTTGTTTTGTAGACGTGGAGATTGGGGTCTGAGCAGTCACAGAACTTGCCCCAGGTTGTGGGCTAACGAGGCCCAGGCCTCCCATCTTTGGTATCTCTTTCTAGTTTGGTTTCTGTAATGCCAAACTTGATAATTAAAGGGGGCCGGAGAGATTATTTAGAGCAAACCTCTCATTACCAGATAGGGAAACTGAGACCTGGCCTGAAGATACTTTCTCAAGGGCATGTAACTTGGCGCCCAATGCAGACGTGGAACACAGGCTCTCGTTCTTCCACGTTGCTGCCCTCCTTCTGTGGACAGCAATCAGAGGACCCTGGGGGAGGATGAATCTGCTACCAGGAGGACGAGGAACTTGGAGAGAGCACTTGGAGATGAATGGAATGGGCCCAGCCCCCCTGGAGTGTCCTTGGAGACTTCGTGAGGCTGGACCAGTGCCTAGGTTTGGTTGAAGGAGGAGAGAGGGTAAGGGGAGAGCCGTGGGGTTCAATCCCAGACAGAGGCTGTAGCATGAGGCGACACCCTGCTGGAGGGCAGCGGGTGGGCGTGTCTGGGTCTTCTGAGGCTGGCACGTGGAGGTGAGGAAGTGAAGCTGAGAGTTGTCCTGTGGATGAGGAAGCGTTGAGGGCACCAGAGGAAAGTTGTTCCACTAGTTCTGACCCTTAGTACCCGGGGAGGCACGGGCACGAGCAGTCTGCTGCGGCCTGAGCACCCCGTTTCTTTCCTGGAAACGCACCCAGACTGCAGAGTTCTTGCCCAGGTAGGCCGGGCACCAAGCATGAATCCTCTCATTGTCTAAAGCGTGTGTGGGCCGGGAAGTGTGTGCCTTTCCGCCCGGCTCAGTCCTATTGCATCCAAGGGAGCAGTTTTGTTTTTGACTAGCCAGCCTTCCAGCTGGCCTGACCCCCACCCCACCCCGACTCTCCGCCCCAAATCCTGGGTCTCTCCTGGATCGGTCCTTCAGTGGTGGCTTGACACAGGGCTGGGCGGGCCCCACATTTCTCTGCTTCTCTTTGCACATGCACACTCCTCCTCCTCTTTGTAGTATCCCGGCCTTATAGACTGGGAGACTGGGACTGACCCCTGGCCCCAGCGCCAGGGGCAGGTTGGAACCTACAATTTGCCCAAATGACAGAGAACGTGTTGGAACTGAATGGGCACCCTGCACTGTTTTGCGGAGCATCTCCAGACCATAAACTTCTCAGGGCCGGGAAAGTGGGTCAGGCCCTGTCATTCACGTGGGCGCTTCGCTCGCCCTCTCACTTTAGGGTTTACAACGAGATCGTTTCCCATTCCTCAGATGTGCCCGTGGGCTTGCTCCCATTTTGCAGCTGAGAACGTGGACATCCATAGGATATAAACAGGCCACCGTAGCTGATCGCAACGATCAACGTGTAACCTCCCCCCTCCCCAGGGGGACGAACAACAGAAACGTGGGTGCAGGGAGACAGCGGACAGTGTAAGATATGACAATAACAATATTTTATAATTTATCAAGGGTTCACGGGTGTGAGAAGGTGGTGGAGGGAGGGAAAAGAGGAGCTGGTACCAAGGGCTCACGTAGAAAGAAAATGCTTTGAAAATGATGATGGCAACATATGCACAAATGTGCTTGATACAATGGATGTATGGATTATTATAAGGGCTGTAAGATCCCCCAATAAGATGATAAATAAAAAAATTTAAAAACAAATATGTATTTAAGAGTTTGGAAGGTGGAAAAATAAATAAATAAACAAACAGGCCATGGTGAAGGGCTGGGCTGGGGTACCACCCAAGGCCTCTGTGTGTAATTCCCTGGTCTCTCTCCCGAGTGCTGACCACATGCAAATCTCTGAAGTGCCTCGCACAGAAGAGGCGCTCAGTACATATTTGCTGAGTGTGTGGACTTTGGCTCTTTTCTCTTTTGGCCACTACTCTTGACCGTCAGCAGATCCACTGTGAGCACATTGGGAGCACTACCCTGTGAAGTAACAGTATTTGAATTTCATGCCCCGATAAGAAACCAGTGAGCCCTCTTCTCGCCGAGCCTTGCCTCTGGAACTGGGTCATGCACACTGAATAATTAATTCCTTGACTCTTACTCAGAGCTTCCTCCTCCTGAGGTGGAGGTGATGTGTGAGTCAGAC